GAAACTTCTCGACAACTCATCATACTGAGGGGAATAGTATGGCTAGCTCGATTCAAACGATAGTCAGTAAAGGCTCATCAAATCTGTTGATAGCTGAGGGTTTGCTAAAAATCTTAGTTGGCAATCATTAGCTGCGACTGAAGAGTTTAAATTTGCCAAGCTCGTTGGAAAGCTCCTCACTCTGTCCGAACGGAGATCATTCTACAGGTATTAAGATCCAAAGTATTCCAGACCCAATGCAACCCAATTTGGATCTGAAAACTTTAGAGGGGGTTTTGTAGGCAATAAAATTACCTCTATCCCTGCACAGCAACTTAGAACAAGTGAAAGAGCTCAACGGTCCATTTGAACGAAGTCAGGCCCATCTGAATGAAGTCAAACCCACCGATGAGGGAGACAAACATCTTATATAGGAGAAATCTCAATGGTCGAGATTCGCCAGCTCAGTCAAAACGAGCAGTTCAGATCGCTTGCAACGGTTTGATTCGGCACTTTGAATCGAACGGCCACAAGCACGGTGGGACGTTCAGAATTCCAAAACGAATGGCTAAGATGAAACAGTTCGACCGAACTGTTAGGATCTCTCATCGAATCGACGGCTGAGATCAAATGCATCACTAATTCCATGGATCAGATCGAGCGCGTGAAGATGAGGCCGCCTCGTCAGATCACATTTAATGTGATCTGACATGCCCATGTCGCCTTAGATGGCAAGTGCTAGAAACCGCTCACAGACACGTGACTCACCTACCACCGACCTGGGCCTTACCTGCAATGATCCAACTAGCCTGTAAGAAAAATATCACCTGGCGACGTTTAAATCTCACCCGCGCACCCGCGCATTTAGGAGCTCGCCTGCCAATGGCTTAAGCTCGCCTGAAGATTCGAGCTCACCTACACTTTATCAAGCTCGCCTGAAGAGCTCAACTCAACCAAGGGGCTCAAATTCACCCAAACCAATGACAGTGATCCTCTTCATTCAAAGTGTTCTAAACCACATGCAACCATATTTAGGTCTAAAAACTTTGAAGGGGGTTTTGTAAACAATAAAAATTTCCTTTACACAAGAGGACTCAAACCTCGCCTATTTGAGTTCGCCTGCGTGTTCAAAGCAAGCAAAGCTCGCCTGCATTTAAGAGGCCAAGCAAAAGCTCGCCTGTTTGCTTGACTTGCCAGCACAAGTCAAGCTCGCATGCATTCAAGAGGCCAAGTAAAAGCTCACATGTTTGCTTGACTTGCCAGCACAAGTCAAGCTCGCCTGCATTCAAGAGGCCAAGCAAAAGCTCGCATGTTTGTTTGACTTGCTAGCACAAGTCAATCTCACCTACATTCAAGAGGCCAAGCAAAAGCTCGCCTGTTTGTTTGGCTCTCCTGCATGAGCCAAACCTCACCTATTTGTTTGGCTCGCCTGCATGTGCCAAACCTCGCCAACCTCACATATTTGCTTGACTCACAAGCACGAGTCAAGCTCGCCTAATTATCGAGCTCGCCAGCACGAGCTCAACCTCGCATGAACACCTTGCTCGCCCGCACGAGTCAAGCCCGCCTGTGGTGAGTTCGCCCACACGAACTCAACTTGTCAACGAACACCAGCTCACACACTCGAGGGTCCTGCTAGCTAACCCCACCTGTTCGCCAAGCTTGCCTGCAAGCTCGTTTGAACGTTCAATCAGCTCTCAAGCTTGCCTACAAGCCTGTTAGCCCCGCCTGAATAGTGAAAGCGGTTTCTTGCTTGTGGGAGTGGGCCCACCCACTTTCCACGTCATGGGTGATGGGGCATGGCTCCCATCACCCCTAAAGTGGTATCATCCCATAGCTATAGGGGGTCACGTCTTATAGCTATAGAGAAAGTATGCTACTCCTTACTCCTATTAGTGATCACATCCCACAAATCAAGGGATGGCCCATGTCATTCTTTGCCTATTTATAGGACCCTTTTTCCAACGTGAAAGGGGTTCAGCTTACAATTTAGTGAAGAAGTTGGGCATTTTCAAGACTCTTCAACCAGAGGCTGGATCATTTGGGAATTCTCCCTTAAGACTCTTGGCTTCTTCTTGGCTCCCTCAAGGCTCCTCAAACAGAGATCTTCATTAGCTTGCTTGGTAGAACTTTCCTAACTTTTTGCTTGGATTGTTGAAGTAGACTCAATCTGAACTCTCAGATTTGAGACTCTTGGCTTTTTGCAAACTTTTTGCTTGGATTGTTGAAGTAGACTCAATCTGAACTCTCAGATTTGAGACTCTTGGCTTTTTGCAAACTCTTGCACATTAGCACTCAATCTGAACTCTCAGATTTGAGACTCTTGGCTTTTTGCAAACTCTTGCACATTAGCCTTCTCTAAGCATTCGGCATTGATACTCATCAAGCTCAAGTATTATCAAACTCAATCACACAAGAACTTCTACTGTGTACTGAAGCTTAATCGCAATTTCGATCGGATCATCCAAGGGAAGCAAACTCGACGCAAGCATTCGAGTAAGGCATCCTATCGCTACCGAAGAACCCACATTAAACAAGAAGAGAATTCTCTTTTTTTCTGTTGTAATTGTTGATCTTTAGTTTGTAATAATAGATTCTTATTAATACAAACAATCCCTCTTCAGAGAAATTAATTTTTACCAACCTACATCCCTTCACCAACCTGGTCACTCAACTCCCTTTTAACTTCAGCCACTATTTCAGGTTCTTTGGTGTAGGTAAGTCTTTCATCAAGCATGGTAGCATAAGTAGCTATCTCATTGTCACCATCATCAGATGCTCCATTCTTTACTAAGCATTTCTCAAGTGGATCACTTGAGATATATCTAGTAAAGTCTTCTCTAACCACCATGTCAATTGTATCAATCCTGCAACAAATATCATCAATTAGTGAAAATTTTATAGCAAAAGACAAGTTAAAATTCACCTTCTCATCCCCTATATTAAGAGAGAGCTTCCCATTCTTCACATTAATTACCGCACCAGTGGTAGCAAGGAAATGTCTTCCTAATATAATGGGGATTTAAGAGTCCTCAATTTCAAGAATAACAAAATCAACAGGAATATAGAATTTACTAAGCTCGATAGGGACATCTTCTAATATACCTACCAGATATTTAACTGATCGATCTGCTAATTGGAGGGAAATGGTAGTAGGCTTCAAATCTCCCATGTGCAAGTTGTTGCATATAGACAATGGTATAAGACTGACACTAGCACCAAGATCATATAGAGCATGACTAATTGACATATCACTAATTGTGCAAGGAATAGAAAAAGAACCAAGATCTTTAAGCTTAGGTGGTAACTTATTTTGAATGATGTCACTACACTCCTGGGTCAAGGCTACAGTCTCTTATTCCTCTAATTGTCTATTATTTAATGGAATCTCCTTTAAGGATTTAGCATAGGAGGGCAATTGAGAGATGGCTTCAACGAATGGGATGTTAATGTGCAATTTTTTTTTTTAAGATTTCTACAAATTTCCCAAATTGCTTTTCCAACCTAGCCTTAGCTTGGCTTTGAGGAAAAGGTAGTGGAAGCTTGTAAGGTGCATAAGCTACATATCTCTCAACCTTCTCCCCTTTCTCACCAATATGCTCTTTCTCACTTGTCACCAACTTCTCACTCTCATCAACCACATCCCCATGATCATTCCTCATCACTAGTCCCTCTTAACTCTTTTCCACTCCTAAGTGTAATGGCATTGATAGTTCCCTTGGGGTTAGTTTCAGGTTGTCCAGGAAACATCCCTAAAGACCTAGAAGAAGAGGTAGATTGTTAGGCCACTTGTGTGATTTGATTCTCTAGCATTTTGTTTTGGGTGGCTAAAGAATCAACCTTAGAGGTTAGGTTCTTAATGGCATCACTTATGATCCTATTTTGATTTCTAAATTCTTTATTCTGCTTATTCTGGGATGTCGCAAAATTCTCCATCAAGGTCTCCAAGTTGGACTTTTGGGGACTGGGGTAAGGGAGTCTAGGGGCCTGAAAACCTAGAAAATTAGAGTGAGGAATTAGATTCTAGGGTGGATTTTTATAGGATAATTTAGGATAATTTGTCAACCCCGGGTTGTATGTATTGGAAAATAGATCCCCTTTCTGATTAAAATTATTCACATAGTTAACATGCTCAGATAATGGTGCATCAGGGGAAGGAGGGTTTCCATCCTGACATTCCACAGCAAAATGTCCAATAATACCACATATTTCACAATTAGTAGACCTAGATGCTACTGAATTCATGCTCATCTTATCAAAATTTTGAAATAAAGCATCTACCTTAGAAGCAATGTGGTCTAATGCATCTACATCGTACCTCCCGCTCTTTTTGGGTAAAGAGTGCTCTCCCGACCACTGGAAATGGTTCTGTGTCATATCCTCTATGAGTTGTCTTGCATTTTACACACTTTTATTCATTAATGCACCACCAGCTACAACATCCATGGTCATCCTAGTGTTGTAGAGAAAACCGTTATAGAAAGTGTGAATTATGAGCCAATCCTCTAACCCGTGATGTGGACACACCCTTAGAAGGTCTTTGTACCTTTCCGAAGCATCATACAATGACTCTCGTTCTTTCTGAGTGAAGGTCGTTATCTGATTCCTTAACTGGGCTGTTTTGTTTGGAGAGAAATATTTAGCAAGGAACGCCGCTGAGAGTTGGTCGCATGTAGTGATGGAGCCCAGTGGAAGTGATTGCAGCAAAGCCTTTGCCTTGCCCCTTAGTGAGAAGGGAAACAACCTTAGCTTGATTGCGTCATCTGACACTCCATTCATCTTCAAGGTGTCATAATACTCCATAAAGATTGAGATATGGAGGTTTGGATCTTCAGTTGGAGTACCCCAAACTGGTTTTGCTTAACCATGGAGAGAAGTGAAGGTTTGAGTTTGAAGTTGTTGGCAGTAACATTAAGCTTTATACTGCTAGACTGGGAGCCATGGTTGGTCAGTGATGCAAACTCATTCAAGGATCGGTCTTGATTGCCTTGGTCTTCTTGGTCTGCCATGGTGTTTTTTTTTCAAACTGCCCTCTGTTTCTCGTACCCACTTCCTAATACCATGGAAGGTCCTTTCAATCTCGGGATCAGACTCGATTGGTTCTCCAAGTCGTAGGGATCGGGGCATACAAGGGTGCCTGCACAAGAAAGCAAAGAAACAAGTCAAACGTAAAAATAAAAAAATAAAAAAATAAAAATGAAAGAAAGGGTCTAGTCTAGTCAAACAATAAAGTAAGTCAATATTAACAATGCCGAAGTCCTTAGGAACGACGCTAAAAACTTGATCGCCCAAATCCGCAAGTGCACAGATATCGTTGGAGCGATACAATATCGTATCCTCAGGGACTTCGTTGTTAATTACTGATTTTCATTGTTTATGACTATCTAAACCAACCATATTAGGAGGTTTGGTTTTAACAATAGAAAAATAATGAACTAACTAGTTGGTATCAATAACAGATTCAATCAATTAAAAGAACCTAGGATCAAACTTTGGTTTCAACTCTGGTTTGAATCAACAAATTAATCAATCATTATCAAACCGTTCAATTCATTAGGAATGACTAACCTATGATAACTTTTAGCCTATTTTGACGACTAGAAGGCGTGCTTAATTCAGTCTAACAACCTATACATTAAGTTCATGTTAGTCCTTTACATTCCCGAGAATTATTAACATACTTTCGTGATCAATCAATTCCCGTTTAATTACTATTTTCCAGCATCAATTCAATCTTTCAGTACAAATTAACATCCTAAAAGAGTCAATGGCCAAATGAATTAACCCTAGGTAATCAGATACTAGTAATTGAATAATGCAAATCAAATGATTATCAGTAACACAGAATCAATTCATCGATTTACAACCATAATCGAATCTAATTCGATCCTAGAAAAAATGATTACTCACACATAATTGAAATAGAAAACATGTAATAATGTATGAGATCATAATCAAAATCAAGAAAACAATATAGATAATAAAAATAAACTATAGCATCGAAATCGAGATGTTGACAACTCTCCACAACCAATAGATTGCAAATCAAAAGAAATCCTACACAAAGTTGTAGAAAGATTTGGAAAACAAGAAGAAAGAAAAAGAGAAAAATCTCCAGCCAGCCGCCCCCCTCTCAAATACCTCTAGATGTTCTTTTTAAAGTATGGAAAAGATATCTTAACTGATAATAACCGTCAAATCTTTTAAGATCGTGTGAGAAACTAAATGCTGACATCCAACACAGTCGTGTAGATCAACATGGCTAGGAAGTGTTCATCTTTGTTGCTCTGTTCCTTCTAGTTACTCTTCTGCACTTCAACACTCAGGTGTTGTTGGACCCTGGGGGACCGTGTAGCCTCTTTCCATGCATTCCTTGACTCCTTTTTGGCTCTGAATCCGTGCTTAGCTCCAATGTTTCCTACACAATACACAAAGAGAGCAGTAAACAAGAACAATGAAGCTAAACAGGGCCAAAACATAAGGAAATCACATAAAATAACAAGAAATCAAAGGTGAAACATAGTCAAAAGATAGAAAATAATCATGTTTATCAGTTTTACAACTAATAGCAGTAGATGGCGACCAATTCACTAAGTAACAAGCCATATTCACTACTTCCGCCCAGTATTCCTTACCTAAACTTGCATTGAACATCATACAATGAGCTTCCTCTAATAAGTCTGTTCATACATTATGCCACTCCATTCTATTGCGGCGTGTGAGAGACTGTACGATGTCTAACAATTCCCTCCTTCTTACAGAACTTATTAAATTCTCATCCACAAAACCCAATGTCATTATCAGTTCTAAGCTTCTTAATCAGCCTCTCAATCTGCTTCTCAATCAAAGACTTCCACTACTTGAAAGTCACAAGCACCTCATATTTATGTCTCAAAAAGTAGACCCAAACCTTCCTGGAGTAGTCATCAATGAAGGTCAACAAATATCTAGAATTACCACCCTTCGAGGCAACTTGAAAAGGTCCCTAAAGATCTGAATGGATATAATCCAAAGTACCTGTAGTCTGATGTACTGCCGTACTGAAGCTAACTCTTTTCTGCTTCCCAAAGATGCAATACTTGCAAAATCCTAATTTTTCTGTACTCTGTCCACATAAAAGACCCTTCTTACCCAACTCGGTCAATCCGCACTCACTCATATGACCAAGTATCATATGCCATAATATGGTAGTATCAACTCCTAACATCGACGATGCAACTACAGTCGAGCCGTTAACAGTAGAACCCTGCAAAACATACAAACTGTTAATCTTCTTTCATTTCATAACCACAATAAAGCCTTTTGTAACCCTTAGAACTCCACCTTCACCTAAAAAATTGCACCCAGTGCTATCAAGAGTGCCCAAAGAGATGAGATTTTTTCCTTAAACCTGGAACATGCCTAACATCTGTCAAAGTCCTGATGACTCCATCATCCATCTTAATCTGTATTGTGCCTTTCCCAACAATCTTGCATGAGGCGTTGTTCCCCATAAGAGCAACTCCACCATCAATAGCTTCATAAGTGGTGAACCAGTTCCGATTAGAACACATATGATAGGAACAACCCGGATCCAAAATCGAATCATTCATGCTCCTGTTTATATCATCTGCAACCAACAAAATTACATCTTCAGCAATATCAACTTCAGCGGAGTCCTCTTTGATTTTTTTCATACCCTTCTTTTTTATTTTTGTTTTTTAATCTATAACAAACGGTCTTAATGTGCCCTTTCTTCTTGCAATATCTACAAGTCAGATTCCTGTGCTTCAACTTATACCTGTTACCTCCAAAGCCCTTTTCTTGCGATCTTCCTCAAACAAACAAGCCATCAGGTTTATCACCACTTTCACTTATGGTTAGCTCTTTGTCGATCTTCTCCTTATTCAATAACTTCTCTTTGACGTCCTTGATACTAATATGTTGGACCCTAAGGGGGTGATTAGGGTCTTGAGGCAATAATAGTGCAATAAAAATATGACAAGTAATACACCACAAAATGAAAAGCCAAAGTATAAGAGATAAGGTAAGAAATCGTTATCCAAGTGACGTACAATGTGTTCACGAGGTTCGGTCCGCTGACCTACGTCCCCACTCCCCACTCTCGAGGAGAATCCACTACACAACCCGGTTTGGAAGCCGGAACTTCTTCTACACAACGATCTTCATGAGATCTTACAACCACACAATTGATCTCCACGAGATCACACTCACAACAGTAACAATCACAGGAAAGACTCTCTCTTTACAGTAGCCCTATGGCAAGAAGAGAGATTGCACTTGAAGCTTGGGATGTGAAAACGAAACAGTGAATAATAGGATGAAAGTTGAAGCTCTTTGAAAACAATAAACTTGAAAACAAGAGTTTTGCAATTAAAGATTAGTTCTGAAGTAGTTGGGGTGTTCGGTATTTATGAGGAAAGAAAATAGCAGCAAAAGCCTTAAAGAATCAGACAAAATCCCCCAAAAACGGGATTTCTAAAACTATACAAAAATAGTCGTTACAGTGTTATGAGTGGACTCAGTATTGTTCATGAGTCGACTCATAAGTAACCGTTACAGGCTAAAAGTCGACTCATAAAATTCATGAGTTGACTCATCATGCATGGGTTGACTCATGAAGTCATGGGTCGACTCAGCAGAAACAAAACATATTTTCCAGCACAGTTTATGAGTTGACTTATGACAGGCATGAGTCGACTTAACCTGATGGGTCGACTCATGATGTTGTGAGTCGACTCATCAAAAATAATTAAAAACTACGCAGCAGTTTGTGAGTTGACTTAATACTGTTTATGAGTTGACTCATAAACTTGTACACAGAAAATATCAACTTTGAACCTTGTTAAAATTATCAAATAATTCAAAAAAATGTAAAACTTTGGGAATAGTTTATAAATATTTTGACAAACTTGTTTGAAAAGGAATTTTGCAAAAAGGTCCTCGTATTTGTTAAAATCATCATTTTGACAAAAGTACCAAAATACGAGTTTTGAAATAGTGCAAGTGTGTGTGATATCCCAAATAGCTTCAAATAAAATCTACAGCTACTTGCCTACATTTAAGTACTAGAGAGAAAATAAAATAGCAAATATCTCTCACATAGAAATATATTTCTTGAGTCTTGATATTGTTTTAGAGTTGATGAAGCTTTTTAAAGCATATAGTGTTCTTGATAAACATTGCTTCATCATTATGCCTCCACCTCCTTTAGATATTGACGTTGTAGCTCATATTCCATCCAATCCTCCATAAATGGTACTAACGAGCTTGATATTCATATTAACTACAATATCACTCAATAAGCAATTAGTACCAATAATGGTGGTTGTAAATCATCACCAAAACATAAGGGCTAACAATCTCCCTCTTTTTGATGGTGACAACCAACCATTATATTAGAGTGAATAAATATAGCTTATAGATAGTAGATCCCCCTATCTATAAGCTCCCCCTAACTATGTGCACAAATGAGGAGATTTTTCTCCCTCTTTGTCACCATCAAAATGAGGTATATGAAATACTAAACATGCAAAAAGACATATGAAGTTCAACTAACCAAGCAAACAAGCAAAACTTTTTACATAATACATAAACCCAAACCATTTCTTATGTGACAAAAATCTTCTTCACTAAGAGGCTTGGTAAAGATTTCCGATAATTGAGATTTAGTATCAATTTAAACAAGGGATACATCTTGCCTCTCGACATGATCATGTAAGAAATGATGGCACACATCAATATGCTTGGTTCTAGAGTGCAAAATAGAATTTTTTTAAAATGTTTATAGCACTAGTGTTATCACAAAAAAAAATTGTATTTTGAAAATACAAATCATATTCAACTAAACTTTGTTTCATCCATAAAAGTTGGGCACAACATAAGCCGGCGGCAACGTTTTCCGCTTCCGTAGTGAACAAGGCAACACAATTTTGTTTCTTGGAGGCACAAGAGACAAGAGAGTTACCCAAAAATTAACATGTACCACTCGTACTCTTGTGATCTACCTTACATCTGGCAAAGTCGGCATCACAAAAACCATAAAGATCAAAAAAGGTGCTTTTTGGATAAAATAAACTAAGATCAATTGTACCTTAACATATTTAATAATTTTTTTAACCGAAATCAAATGGGATGTTTTAGGAGAGGCTTGAAAACGTGCACATGCACACACACTAAACATGATATCGGGTCTACTAGCGGTAAGGTAAAGAAGACTACCTATCATACCTCGGTAAAGTTTTTGGTCTACATCCTCACCACTATGGTAAGGTAAAGAAGACTACCTATCATACCTCGGTAAAGTTTTTGGTCTACATCCTCACCACTATCATCCACATCAAGTTTGATACTTATACTCATGGGAGTTGGTGCATGCTTAGAGTTCTCTAATCCGAATTTCTTTACCAATTCTTTAGCATACTTGCTTTGAGAAACGAATATATCATCTTTAGCTTGCTTGACTTGGAGCCCGAGAAAGAAAGTGAGTTCTCTCATCATGTTCATCTCAAAATGATCTTACATAACTTTAGAAAATTCCTTCTATAAAGTTTTATTAGTGGCACCAAAAATGATATCATCAACATATATTTGAACTAAAATAAAATTATTTTTCTTTTTTCTCACAAAAAGTGTATTATCAATTTTCCCTTTAGAAAATCCATTTTTAAGAAGAAAACTAGAGAGGCGAGCATACCAAGCTCTAGGAGTTTATTTTAACCCATATAAATCTTTTTGAACCCGGTAAAACACGATTAGGAAATGAATGATCTATAAAATCGGGGGGTTGCTCAACATATATTTTTTCTTCTATAGAACCATTTAAAAAGGCACTTTTCACATCCATTTGAAATAATTTAAAATTTTTAAAACTTGCAAAGGCTAAGAACATTCTAATGGATTCTAACCTTGCAACCGATGCAAAGGTTTCATCATAGTCTATGTCATCCTCTTGATTGTATCCTTGGGCAACTAAACAAGCTTTGTTTCTCGTGACTATGCCATGTTCATCAAGTTTGTTTCGAAAAACCCATTTAGTTCCAATAACATGAACATTATTAGGTCTAGGAACTAATTTCCAAACATTATTTCTTTAAAAATTTGTTTAGTTCATCATGCATTGCTAGAACCCAAAACTCATCTTTTAAAGTATCATTTGTCTTTTTAGGTTCTATTTGAGATAGGAATGCAACATTACCACACTCACTCAAAGCTTTTGAGCAAGTTAGAACCCCTTGTGAAGGATTCCCTATTACTTGCTCCTTTTGATGATTTGGTGAAAATTTTCATGCTTTGGAGAGTTCTTCTTGCTCTTAACTGTTGTTACTTTCTCCATCCTTTTGTGCGTCTATTGAGTGTGTTTCATTTAGTTACAAAAGTTACAATCCTCCCTCAATATTATCATCATCTTTTCAAGGAAAACCAACTTGTAAACCAATATTATTTCATCAAAAGTAACATTTATAGATTCTTCAACAACAAGAGTTCATTTGTTGAAGACCCTATAAGCCTTACTTCTAGGTGCATATCCTAAGAAAATGTCAATATCAATTTTTGAATCAAATTTATCATGGTGATCTTTGGTGTTCAAGATAAAACATTTGCAACCAAAAATACAAAAGTATCCAATAAAGGGGGTTTTGCCATAAAATAGTTTATAATGAGTTTTCTTAAGCTTTGGTCTAATCAAAACACGATTCAAAACGTGGCAAGCCGTATTGACGGATTCCGCCCGAAAATATTTTGGTAAATCAAAAGCATTAATCATTGTTCGTGTCATCTCTTGTATGGTATGATTTTTCCGTTCAACAACACCATTTTGTTGTGGTGTTCTTGGAGCGAAAAATACACGAGTTATGCCACGATGTGCATAAAAATCATTAAAAATTTTATTCTGAAATTCACCACCATGATCACTTCTAATTATAATAACTTTCAATTCTTTTTTATTTTCAATTCTTTTGACAGAATATGAAAAATCTTTAAAACATGCATATTTACTACCAAGAAAGATTATCCATGTAAAACGGGAGAAATCATCAATGATAACAAAAATATAGTGTTTGCCTCCTAGTGAGGTAACACGCATAGGACCAAAGAGATCAAGATGTAATAATTGTAAGGGTTTAGAAGTTGATTCCTAGTGAGGTAACACGCATAGGACCAAAGAGATCAAGATGTAATAATTGTAAGGGTTTAGAAGTTGATACCTCATTAATAGAGATCAAGATGTAATAATTGTAAGGGTTTAGAAGTTGATACCTCATTAATGGATTTGAAGGTAGACTTACTTTGTTTATCTTTAGCACAATCTTCACAAATGGTATCTTTGATGAAATATAAGGTTGGTAACCCTTTTACAAGATTCTTTTTGGATAACTTGGATATCAACTCCATGTTGGCGTGACCAAGTCTCTTATGCCAAATCCAGGGATTCTCATCGACTACCGCAAGGCATTTAACATCTTGATCTACTAGCTTATTCATCTCAAAAATGTACACATTAGATTTTCTATTAGCAACAAAGATAACTTTTTCATTTAAGCTAACAATGCACTTATCTGGTTTGAAAGAAATATCAAAATATTTATCACTTAATTGGCTAATACTAAGAAGGTTATGATTTAAGCCTCTAACCAAATAAAAATCCTCTATTACGGGAGAAGGTATCTTACTAATGCATCCAATACCTATAATTTTACCTTTCTCACCACCACCGAAGGAGATATTACCTCCTTCAATCCATTTTGACATGTATTCAACGGCTACTAGAATGTACACATTTCCAAAGGAATTTGGAAATGGTCCCATGAAATCGATACCCCATAGATCAAAAAGTTTAACGGATAAGATGGGTTGTAGGGGCATCATATTTCTTCTAGTGACCTTCCCTAAAAGCTAACAGCGGTTACAGGTTTTGCAAAACTCGAATGAATCCTTGAAGAGAGTGGGCCAATACAGCCCAGATTGGAGAACTTTTTTAGCTGTTTTTCTTGGACCAAAGTGGCCCCCACATGCTTGCTCATGACAAAAGGATAGAACACTCCTAGTTTCTTCCGTAGGAACATACCTCCTAAAGATCTGATCAGGATAGTATTTGAACAGATATGGATCATCCCAGTAAAAGTATTTTACTTGGAAGAGAAAACGGGATCTATCCTGTTTGGACCAATGAGAAGGGATCTGGTTCATGACTATGTAATTTACAATGTCAGCGAACCATGGGACAGATTGGATTTGTAGGAGTTGTTCATCAGGGAAATGCTCATTGATCGGAACGGTTGATGTTGGTGTGTTCGGTAGTCGAGAAAGGTGATCTGCTACGGGGTTCTCTATTCCCCTTCTGTCAAGAATTTGAATGTCAAACTCTTGAAGAAGGAGAATCCATCTAATGAACCGTGCTTTAGCATCCTTTTGGTCAAAAGATACTTTAGTGCGGCATGATCTGTAAAAACTTTGGTTAAGGAACCGATGAGGTAGGACCTGAATTTTTCTAAGGCAAAGACTACAGCTAAAAACTCTTTCTCTATGATAGAATAATTTTGCTGGGCATCATTCAGAGTCCTACTGGGGTAGTAGATCACATGCGGTTTTCCATCAAACCGTTGTCCTAAAATAGCTCCAATCGCAGAATCAGATGCATCACACATCAGTTCGAAGGGTAAGGTCCAGTCTGGTGCATGATGTTGACCCTATAGTTTTGATGATGATTTGTCAAATAATTTATCGCTAATATATTCTCTAGTTTTGTGTTTATGTTTCTCTTTACAGGTATTTCAACACACAACAATCAAGCGTTAAAGATTCAAGTTTATATGTCTGGAATTACCTAGGTATAAGTTTAGCTTACTTACATATATTGTATGTTTATATTTAAGCTCAATATATGTACACTTAACACGATTTTTGACGTTTTCTACCAAATAAATGATTTTTTATCAAACGTCGTTACAATATCTTTTATCTCATGTTTACAACTCTTTCATACTCTATTATATATACATAATACATGCATGAGATATATTTACGTATTTATGAGTCATATCAAATTTTTCATATTCGTAAAATACAGGTTTTACGAACACTTTTCAAAAACAGTGTGTTTTTTGCAAACAAAAATTATTTTTCCAAAAATTCGTTTTCTAACATGTTCATTTTATCATTTGCGTTCTCATTTGTTATTGAGAACAAATCATTGTATTTATCTTTTATTGTGAGTATCACTTGTAATACACTTGTACACCAAGAGAAGTGTGAGGCAAGAGACGGGGTTGAATCCAATAGGAGTGGCATCGGTTGACGAACCTAGGGAGAGGTTGCATCCGAGTACTTGAGGAGGAGGACACGGGCTAGGTTCCTACACTTAGTGTGTAAAGTGTGATTGCATAGTGTTTGTGTAGTGTGAGTGTGACGCCCCTGGGTTCACACAAGGCTGCAGTCCAAGGTGAAACCAAGAATGTCAAACCTGCCATGCACCACACGGTGCAATAACATATTTTACCATCACAATTAACATCTATCTAGTAGAGTCAACAACTGGTGTAGGTACAAAACAGGTAAAAGATAATACAAGATATACTAATGGAATGATAACAGTCACATAAATATCTCATCATCCCACATACAGAAATACATAGCCAAGATCTGAGTAGATAAACTGGAATACTCAACAAGTCTCAAATACAAATATCTGACGAAAAGGAAATAAGGCACACAGCCTTTACAACTTCTAGAACAAGACTCTCAAATGTCTAAATAAAAATCTACTGTGGAACTCCAAAAGAAAATATAACTAAAGAGACGGCTGAAGCTAAAATGCATCGCCATCAGTCTACGACTCTCCGGGCTCCTGGCTCGTTACCTGAAAGGGGGAGGGACAACGAGCGTCAAAGCGCTAGCGAGTAACATCACAACCAACCCCAAGGGAACAGGGCTCGTTGTATAAGAAAAATACAGTTAATATATAAGAGATCAAAAATCATTGATCTTACTAAAGAGGGTTTTAGTATTTAGAAATTTACAACACGAGCATAGGTACGTCGAGCGAAATAATCCAAACAAGGAAACCCTCATGTATATACCTTGTATCTCAAATTGTAAATCTCTAAACACCAAACCCGAGGTTCTAGTACAAGAAACAATAATAAAAGGAATATAACTAATCTCAGAGCATAAATACGGTGCCATAACATAACTAACGTGAGTAGCATGTCATAACTTACATGAATATCATGTCGTAATCTACATAAGTGTCATGTCAAACTCACATGAGTGACATGTCAGAAAACGATTAAGTGTCCAAAACATAGACTATATAAATTAAACGTCCAACCCATAGACTGCATGAAGTAAACATCCAACTCATGAACTGAAAATAACCGTTGTCCAACGCATGGACCGGATGTGACCGTTGTCCAACGCATGGACCGGATGGTAATGTATATCCAACACGAGGATTAAATAGCAATGCATGTCCAACACGAGGACTAAGTGGGAAGGGTGTCCAACACGAGGACTAAAAGGTAATGCTTGTCCAACACGAGGACTGAGATATACAGAAAAACCTACTTATATCAATCCACACTCAAATCAGTGTGTAAGTCCCCAATTTATACCCTCAGGTCATCTATCATGCATGGATACATAATAAGACTAAAACCAATGTCAGATAATCCAGACGAACTCTCGCACATGAGTAAAATACCCCAGAATACACAAAACAGGGGTTATACAACAGACAGAGCGGCGGTCGACCGCACCGGTCGACCGCTCTCTGATACGCGGCTGGCGGTCGACCGCTGCGGCTTCGCGGTCGACCGACAGAGCGTCGCGGTCGACCGACAGAGCGTCGCGGTCGACCGACAGAGCGTCGCGGTCGACCGACAGAGCGTCGCGGTCGACCGACAGAGCGTCGCGGTCGACCGACAGAGCGTCGCGGTCGACCGACAGAGCGTCGCGGTCGACCGACAGAGCGTCGCGGTCGACCGACAGAGCGTCGCGGTCGACCGACAGAGCGTCGCGGTCGACCGACAGAGCGTCGCGGTCGACCGACAGAGCGTCGCGGTCGACCGACAGAGCGTCGCGGTCGACCGACAGAGCGTCGCGGTCAACCGCAGCCCTAAAACGAGCCCAGCGGTCGACCACTCTGGTCGACCGCCAAGCGGACAGAAACCCAATTCTAGGTTTCTGTCAGCTCGAAACCTGAAACAAGATTTGATATTCTATGATAACAAGAGTTTTAACGATTCAAAAATCATACTAAAGATAAACAACTAACCCCAAGCTTGAAATCTACATTTTTAATATTCTAAATCCATGAGAAACAAACCAAAAACGTTTTAATAACTGTAAAAAAAAGATCTAAGATTCATTAGAAAGCTATTGAAGAGACCTACAACTTTGTTCTTATACACTTTTCCAAATACTAACTGAATCAGTGTGTAAAACATAGAAACTCTCAACTGGTCAAAATTCCCAGATTCTCACTCTTGGCCTTTGTGCATGATTTGTGTATTTGTACTCACATATATACATATATACATTGAATTGATCTCAAATCAGTTCCTAGCATACTCAAACATCATAATATATTATTTATAAATGTATAACATATTTATTATTATTTATCATAAAGTATTCAAATTTTCGGGGTTTTACATTCTTCCCCCCTTAAAAGAATTTCGTCCTCGAAATTCAGAAATCATACTTAAGCAAATAATAATACTAGAAAAACACATAGTGGGTCTAATTCAACCCTCAACCAGAAACATTTAGAATTTTACTCTTGATAAGCATATATGGATATTTATATTTAACAGTCCAGGATGAATATATTACCACTCAACCCTTAATCGAATGGAACTAGTACGTCGGGCGAAAAATCCAAACAAGGAACCCCCCATATATATACCATGTGTTCCGAAAGATTAAGAATTAAGTAAAAATATCCTCATTCTAGCGTTAAATCAAAATATAACCACACAAATAATCGTACACATAAATCAATGCACTTCCTCAATAGGTTCAAGAAGTCGCGGCATAACATCTTCGCGACCCTGAAGATCATCTCAACTCCTTTCTGGTTCCACTGAGTTTTCTCCAAGGGAAAAAAAATATCTTGTTTCTAAATTTCTCGTCTTCTCTAGCAAGTATACAAACTGGGATTTCGATCGTAGTCAAACCATCCAGAAGCTAAATTTCTAATGCGTTCAACACTCACTACTGTTCTTCATCACGTAATTGTTTCTTAAGCATAGAAACATGAAATACATTGTGTATACTAGACATCGATTCTAGAAGATCTAGTCTGTATGACACAGTTCCAATGCTCTCCAAAATCTGATACGGTCCAATGTATCTCGTCGTAACTTTTTTCCGTCTTCCGAATTGCTACCTTGAAAGTCAATGACACAAGCCCGGCATCTGTTTTCCAACATCTAATTTACTCTCTCCGTCTGACCATCCATCTATGGATGAAATGCACTACAGTACGATAAATCTGTTGCCCAAAAGGATCCTGGAAACCCTTCCAAAAATGTAGAATGAACACTAAAATCTCAATCTGATGTTATCGCATCTGGAATTCCATGAAGTCGAATAGTCTCTTGCATAGGTATCCTCGCATACATCTCAGCTGTATAGTTAGTCCTTGCTGGAATAAAAATGTATTGACTTCATCAGTCCATCCATTACCACCCAAATCGAATCATTCTCTTTCTTCAATTTTGACAACTCTACAATAAGGTCCATAGAAATGTCCGCCCACTTCTACTCCGGAATGGTTAAAAGCTGACGTGATCCTACTGGTCTCTGGTGTTCCGCCTTTACTCATTGACAGGTAAGATACTTAGCTACATACTTTGAAATCTTCCTACGCATAACACTCCATCCAAAGGTGTCTCTTTAGGTCCTTGTACATCTTAGGGGTCACTGGATGTACTATGAACTGAGTACGATGTGCTTCATTTAGCAACTCCCTCTTAAGCTCTGCACTGGTTGGCATAACTAGTCTATCCTTCATTCGTAGACTTTCATCTGCTCTAACGGCCCAATCAGTCTTAGGCGCTTTGGAAATTTCCTCCTTCTGGATTTGAATTCAATAGTTTTCTAACTGAGTTCTGACAACTCTGTCACTCCAAGATGGCTGCACTGTCACAGCTCCCAAAAATGCACTGGTTCCTCCAATCTCGGGTCT